TATTGGGCCAAGGGAATGCCATAATATGGCAGCCCAAACCATCACTGATCCACCCCCATGCTTCACTCTGGGCAAGCAACAGTCTGGGTCGTTCTTTGGGGCTTCTCCACACCGTAACTCTCCTGGATGTGGAGAAAACAGTAAAGATGGACTCATCAGAGAACAATATGTTTCACATTGTCCACAGCCCAAGAATTGCACTCCTTGCACCATTGAAACTAACGTTTGGCACAAGTGACCAAAGGTTTGGCTATAGCCGCCTAGCCATGTATATTGACCCTGTGGAGCTCTTGACGGACAGTTCTGGTGGAAACAGGAGTTGAGGTGCACATTTAATTCTGCTGTGATTTGGGCAGCCATGGTTTTATGTTTTTTGGATAGAATCCGGGTTAGCACTCAAACATCCCTTTCAGACAGCTTCCTCTTACGTCCACAGTTATTCCTGTTGGATGTGGTTCGTCTTTCTTGGTGGTATGTTGACATTACCCTGGATACCGTTGCTCTTGATACATCACAAAGACTTGCTGTCTTGGTCACAGATGCACCAGCAAGACGTGCATCAAAAATTTATCCTCTTTTGAACTCTGGTATGTTACCCATAATGTTGTGTGCATTGCACTATTTTGAGCAAAACTGTGCTCTTACCCTGCTAATGGAACCTTCACACTCTACTCTTAGTGGTGCAATGTGAAATTAATGAAGATTGGCCACCAGGCTGGTTCAATTTAGCCATGAAACCTCCCACACTAAAATGACAGGCATTTCAGTTTCATTGTCCAACCCCTCTATGTCTTGGACASTTGGTTAAAGATGGGCAGAGCTGTCAACTGATCACCTCCAGATGGGTCCTGTGACAGGGAAGGCAGCTGGACAGAAGTGGTAAACACAAACACATAATGAAGGTGAACTGGAAATGTTTGGTGAAACCCCCATAGTCTTCAACTCACACCTCCATGAGAGTTTTTCACGTCACAGGGCAATCAAGGAACAAGTAGTTAAAATGAACCATGTTCAAGGCTTCCATTGCAGAGATAGCTCTCAGGAGCTGTGACCTGAAGGTCTTTTTTTGCCTGTTGCAACAGCAACCAATTTATTCAATGGGTGACACCAGCATTGATGAAAGCTGTCAAGCTAAAAAATGAGGACTTCAAGGCTTGGCTATCCAGGAACAGTCCTTGAAGCAGYTGACAAGGAAAGGGAGGCCAGAAGGGCTGCAGCTTATGTGAATGTAGATGCAAATATTCTGGGGCCTCATGTTCAAAGACTTGCGTGGATTTCTTACTGAAACCTGACATACGGTCAAATCCAGAAAACGGCGTACGCACAAAAAAAATCCAGATGTACAAACTGTGTGTACGCCTGAATTCACGCACATTGCTTTTGTACATCACAATTAACGTCGAACTGAGCGCACGTGAGACACCTCCCGACACGCCTTCATTAACATATGTTAAACAGATTCAAATTACTTCCTGCATGAGTGAAGGACACGTTTGAGCAATCCCTGCGCGATCAGAAATGATTTCTAATGTCATAAAAGCAATGAATTAAATATAATGAGTGATAAAAAAATCCTAAGTAAAAATAGGAATAAAATATGTTTATCACGCAAAGAACGAGTGATTGTGTGTCGGTGTGTGTGTGTGTGTGTGCACACGCTGCTGTGTTGCGCGACTGGCTCATCCATCCATTCTGAGTCTGAAAATATTAACTTTGCGCACGAGTTTATTACCATAATTACTGTAAACACAGAGGAACTTAAATGTTTGGTAGAACATAGATCTTAGTTTGTTTCATAGCTGATATGAAGAAACGAGTCTCTGCGTCTCAGTAGAGAGTTCACATGACGTGACGTGATGTTGGAGAGTCTCCACAAACGCTGCGCGCGCCGCAGCCTTTGTGTGCAGTTTGTTTGTCTGTCAAACTTTTGCTCTCCTACTTACAGCATTTTCACAAGTTGTAAAGTGTACTTCCACGTGTCATTCTGGAGAAATCTACAACAACATAAATGCCAAGTATGTAACACCTCCACCGCCGGCGTGAGGGTGCACGCTCCAGAGCGCGACCGTAACTCAGCCTTTAGAATCATATGGATGAGAGGATTCCGTCGGTCATGACTCAGCTTTGGGTGGACTGGACTGACACAGTCCTGATGGGTATGCCAGCTCCCTCTGGAAAGCTCCTGTGGAACCCCAGTCTAATCGCTGCTGCTACACGTGCACGCGTGACGCACGCGGCTACTTGCTGCGTCGCGCTMCCAGAGCGCAGCAGTGCCAAACTAAAAAATAATTTTTCCTCAAAATGGCTGATGAGCCACTCGTCATCAGAAAACTATATCTGTTTATAAATAAATGCTCTGTGTGTTACACTATTTATTATATCCTCCAGTAAGGCTGAATCTGTTCTTGATGAATGTATTTCTGGCACAACTTTGCACGTCCTTTATTTAACTGCGCCCATGTGGATTTAATAATTGTTAATCATGTGTGTCTGGTGTGAACAATAATCATTTTCACATCATGAACAGTTTCTCAGAATCACCTCTAAGTGTCGCCAATGGAACCAAAACCACAGAAACGTGCGTACGCCAGCCCTGGAGGTGGCGTGGGGCTGCACACATTTCCACATTCAGTTGAGTTTTGATACATCCAGAGTTTTGCATGGAAAATGTCGTACGCAAGGTTTTTGTGCGTAAGCTCTGTTGATACATGAGGCCCCTGGTGTGGGAAGAGTCCTGAGTGGCCTGTGTGAAGGACTATCATTTGACCTCAAGGAGGTTCTGATAAATTGTTCAGCCACACATACAAGAAGAGCAGGTGCCCACCCAGGCTGTGCTTGGTAAACTGCTAAACTGAACTAGGTAAATTGCTGAGCAATTTAGGTATGTCTTTGAACTGTCCACTGTGTCCAAATTCAAGGAGGCAGAGTCTGAATATTTGGAAGAAGAGTCTGTTACTATGGCAGAGGTCATCAATGTAGTCAAAATGATCCTCTGTGGCCAGGTGCGAACAAGATTCTCCTTGAGATGCTCAAGGCTCTGGATGTTGTTGAGCTGTCAACCCTCACACATTCATCAATGTCCCATGGAGGACTGGGACCTACAGAGTGGCAGACAGAGGTGATGGCCCCCATTTTTAAAAAAGGGGACCTGAGAGTGTCTTTCAACTATTAAGGGATCACCCTTCTCTGCTACTCTAGAAACATTTACTCCAAATTGTTGAAAGGGGGGCTTCGACTGATAGTTGTACCTCAGATTTAGTAGAAGCGGTTAGGCTTTTGTCTTAAGCTGGGTTCACACCAATCACATTTTGACCAGCAGGAGAGGCCGATTTACATGCAAAGTTTATGGTGGACGCACGTCTAGGGGTCTCACTAGTGCGTTTAGAGCGGCGCACAATGAAGCGGTAGGTGCTGTTTGAGAGTTTGATGTGCATGCAACACAGCCGACGCTCAAGTTCAAAAATCTAAACTTTTGCTGCTCGACATGCCATGTCAACCAATCAGAGACTCTGCTCTGTGACTTAGCGGTGCATTTTTCCACGCGACAGTTTCCTGAATGTTGCCGACTAACCTGAAACAGATGGACAAGAGCTCTTTAGCTGAAATTGACCTTTTATAGTTGGTGTTCTGGCTGGAGATATCAGCACCGATGTGGGTCAGCGGCTCATTAAACTGACCGCGGTGTTAAACTGGGCTCGGGACAAATGCAGTTTGTCAGCTCGCATCTCCTGGAGTGTGAAACTCACCAAAAAGACCGCCTCTAAATTATCTGGTGAGCGCAACTTTTGCTTGCTCTCAGTAAATAAAGCAAATCCATTTTCTTTATTTCATCCGCCATTAAAGACGGATCAGGAAAAAAAACAGTATGCTCCTCCCATAAAACCATCTTCAGACGCGCGTCTAGTCTTGTTCCAGTCCAACGTGAGGCGTTGGACGCGTTTTAGATGCTCGAACGTGTTCGATGTGAACGTAGCTTCAGTCGTGGAACAGAGCAGTGAACCAGGTTTTTATCATTGGTTGCTAGGAGTGTCATGGGAGTTTGTCTCTCCAGCTTACTTAGGTTTTGTGGACCTGGAGAAGTTTTATAACCATGTTCACTGTGGAAATCTGAAGTAAGTGTTGTGGAAGTACTGGGTATCAAGGTTGTATTTAAAGGCTATCCGACAACTAAAACCAAATCAGGAGCTGTGTATGCATTCTTGGCACAAAGTTGAACTCATTCTTCATTCAGATTGTACTCCACCAGGGTTGTCTCTTGGCTCTGATCTTGTTTATGGTGTTAATGGACAGAGTCTAGTCATAAAAAGGTGTCTGGTTTGTGAACCTCGGTGTCTCATCTCTGCTTTATGTGGATGATGTGGTTCTGTTGGCATCTTTGGGCCATTATCTTCAATGAAATGCTCTCCTTAGGTTGGAGGAAGTGGAGTCTTTGCCTAAGGTGGAACTGTTAAAAAAACTTGGGTTTTATTTTCCCAAGTGATGGAGCAGAAAATGGATCAATAGATTGGGGCCTCATCCTCAGTACCGAGTGTTGTGCTTCAGTCAGTCATTGTAAAGGAAGTGTTAAGTCAAAAGGCAAAACTCTAAATATAATGGTCTTTCTAAGTTCCACCTATCCCATACAGTCTTGAGCTAATGAGAAAATGACCAAAATAATATGATCCTGGATACAAGCAGCCAAAAAGAGCTTTCTTCCTAGAGTTAGCTCAGCCTTAGACATAGGGTAAGGAGCTTAGTCATCTAGGATGAGTTTGGAGTAGAGGTGCCTCTTCTTCACATCCAAAAGAGAAAATTTAGTTTAGGGATGCACCAGTACCAGTTTTTCTTAAACCATGTACGAGTACTTAAATTTGTGTACACGCCGATACAGAGTACCGATACAAGTACTYACTGAATTAGAACTTAAACATTACACAATGATTATAAAAACACATTTTTTAAAATTGGAACTTGGTGTTACGAGTGGAGGTTTGAGCTCTGAGTAATTACCGAACACTGAGAAAGGTTTAACAGATTTATTGAATAAATATGAGAATGAGCATTGGGAACTGGATACCGGGATCAGCAGATCTGGACACAAGAAGCTGAGGTTAAGTCGGATCAGATAAATTATATTATTTAGAAAAATAATATATCTCACCGAGCTTCTCTGGATGGGTTGGATCCGAGTGGAAACATCAACTGCTGAGTTTTGGTTCCGGGCGGTGTTGATGCTGCTGCGGGGTTTTCTCGTGGTCCAAAAACAAGCGGGGGTCAAACACA